GTGTGTGTGTGTGTGTGTGTGTGTGTGTGTGTGTGTGTGCGTGTGTGTGTGTGTGTGAGTGTGTGTGTGTGCGTGCGTGCGTGTGTGGTTGCGCGTGCGTGCGCCCGCGCGTCGTACACGCGTACGTGTGTCTGTGTGTGTTCTGTGCAGATGTGTGTGGTGTACGTGCGTATAATATATATATGAAAATGTAAGAAATGTAAGAAAATGCGGGCATGCTTTTAGAGGAGAAGATGAAAGGCCGTCGTGCGTAACTATGAGAGGCGAAATACTTGTGAGAATAATTGAGTAGAAAACCAATATTAGATTCATTTGGCACTGAGTCGTTGGAAGAAAGGCGGTGCGTCTACGTACGCCCTAGAGTCGGGGTCAGGGACCAGGGAGTGCTGTTGTGATGAACTGCATGACTCAAGCTGTAGAGCAATATTCGCATTCAGTGTCTCATCTCTTGTCTCGTGTAACTATTGTCTATTGATACTTCTCGCTCTACTTATATCAAGTGTGTATAGATCGCGTTAAGGGCTCTCAATATTCAGCCACGGTTAAATCTGAGTGACCGTGCTGCGTGTGTGATGGCGCATATTGTTTTCCGATATTTGAAAATTAATCAATGTTTTTTCGTTGCTGTTTTCATACGCGACCGCCTTTTCACATACGGAAGTCTTCTCTGACGGCACGGGCGTCGACATCATAAATTTCTCGCGAAATCTTGGACTTTATCTCAGCATTCTTAATCTCCTGCTATAGCTTCGACTGTTTTGTCGACATTCTAACTACTGCGCTAGTCTCTAGACCGGGGTGCTTTGTGTGGCTGATCCTTAATTAGCGCATTCGAACCGTAGAGAATATAATTGGCCCGTGAGATTCATCTTACGTCGCTGTTTCGCGTTCCTCCGCATGATCTCTCATGGCAAAGAAGCCATACTGTACGATGGGCGAAGGCTGCGGCAGTAATGCTGAGGGAGAGACGCTGAGGCAGGCGTACTAAGGCAAGCACACTGCCGCGGGGAATATGCTAAGGAAGGGATTCTGCTGCAGCGATACTGCCTAAAAAGATACTTCAGGGGGATGCTGGTGCATTGATACTGCTAAAAAGATACTTAGGGAGATGCTGGTGAAGAGATACTGCCTAAAAAGATACTTAGGGGGATGCTGGTGAAGAGATACTGCCTAAAAAGATACTTAGGGGATGCTGGTGAAGAGATATGCCTAAAAAGATACTTATAGGGGGATGCTGGTGGCAGTGAACTGCGAAAAGATACTTAGGGGGGATTGCCTTGTGGCAGTGAAACTGCTAAAAAGATACTTAGGGTGATGCTGGTGAAGAGATACTGCTAAAAAGATACTTAGGGGGGATGCTGGTGCAGTGATACTGCTAAAAAGATACTTAGGGGGGATGCTGGTGCAGTGATACTGCCTAAAAAAAAAGATACTTAGGTGTGCGATGCTTGGTGCAGTCCATACTGCTTAAAAAGATACTTAGGTGAGATGCTGGTGGCGTTTGCTACTGCCCTAACAAGATCCTTAGAGAGATGCTGGTGCAGTGATTACTGCTAAAAAGATACTTAGGGGGATGCTG